GGGAGGGAGGACGGTGCGGCTGGTAGGCCTCCTGCGGGGCGACATGGCCGCCGGCGGGGAGGGGCGGCCCGGCCGCCTCACGCACCCATCTCCTGCCCACCCCCCTCTCCCTTCCGCGTGTTGCAGCTTATGGAATCAACAGCATCCTCTACCAGCGGGGCATCTACCCCCCCGAGACCTTCACCCGCGTCCAGAAGTACGGGCTCACCCTCCTCGTCACCACCGACCCCGAGCTGAAGAACTACCTCAACAATGTGGTGGAGCAGATGAAAGGTAGCGGGGGGGGCGCTTCTTCAAACTGCCAAGCTAGTGCAGCTGGCGGGAGGCTGCTGTGCCCTCCTGTTGTGTCTCTGGTGATGCTTCTTGTCGCTCTCGCACTGCAAGTAACCGCTGTGGCCTCTTTCAGAGTGGCTGTACAAGTGCATTGTGCAGCGCCTGGTGGTGGTCATCTCGAGTATCGAAAACAACGAGGTTCTGGAGCGGTGGCAGTTTGACATAGAGTGTGACAAAACTGCAAAGGATGAGAGGTGAGTAACAGTGTTCCTCTAGGCCTGCTCTTCCCTCTACCTAGCAGCTGCGCAGGCACAAGATAAATTCCACGCGCATCAGCACCGTTCTGGTTCCTCAGAGCAGCCGAGACGGCCTTTTCTCAGTATCAACATGGAAGGCGTTCCTTCAAACCTTACCAAACCTACTATCTTTCTTACTGCTATTCCTTCTGTTTGTCTGTAAACCAGTCATTATATGATTGAAGTATACATAATCCTCAGGTGTTGACTTTATTTTTTTTTTTTAAAGCACCAGATCAAAACTTGATTTTTAATCTTCAACAAAGTACATAAAATCCTGTATTGGGTACATGCCCTGAAGAACTACAGCTTTCCTGTTGTTATGCCAAAATGTTCTCATCCATTCCGGACTGAGAATAAATGTAACATTCCTTACAAGTACTGTGAAGCTTCACAAACAACAATAAAGGGAAACTGACTATCACTTAATATTTCTAAGCCTGTCTACCTAGGGCTTAAAAGAGTGTCACTACTATAAAAAAATTCTGTAGCAAACAGACCAACAGAGCTTAACAGAGAGAACTGTATTTAAAGAAAACTGTCAGTATAGTAGAAGCTTGCTTTCTTAACAGAGTTTTCCTATTTTTCCAGTGCACCACGAGAGAAATCTCAGAAGGCTATTCAGGATGAAATTAGATCTGTTATCAGACAAATAACTGCCACAGTAACTTTTCTGCCACTGTTGGAAACTGCCTGTGAGTATTCCTAACTTCACTAAAGAAATCAGATGCTTCTTTTGGAAAATCTCAACAACTTTTCCACTTTTAGAAAATACTTTCTGCTATTTTCTAAGGTTTTTTAATTATTACATGTCATATATCATTACATTTCTGAGAGCATTTTGTTAGACTGAGATCAGGATAGAACTCAGGGTGCCTTCTAGAAGATGCACTTTAACTTCAAATATGCCATCTTCTTATGTATGCATTACTGTTAACTTGTTTCCACTTGCTTACAGGTGCCTTTGACTTGCTGATATACACAGATAAAGATTTGGCAGTGCCAGAAAAGTGGGAAGAGTCAGGACCACAATTCATAGCCAATTCGGAAGAGGTTCGTCTTCGTTCCTTCACTACTACAATCCACAAAGTAAACAGTATGGTGGCTTACAAAAAGGATTCCTTCCCCTAAGACACAGTGGGGGTGTTGTATATATCCTGTCACCTTGTATAGTTTCTGTTCCTAGTGCAGCTGAGTTATGAACACATCATTACTGTTGCTCTTGCTGAAGTATGATACAGAAAAAAGGCAACATGGTTGCCTAGGATAATGTGGTGTAACACTAGACTAAGCTGGCATTGTTTTTAAACAGGTCTAAATAAGAGATTCATAACAATAGTTCAATTCTTACTTATCTGTACGAGCTAAACTAATGGTGTGTTAAACTACCACGTTCACTAGAAAAACTGTCTAAACCTAGGATCAATTGCTAGAATTGTGTTCAGATCCTGTAATTTCATATTTTATTATTATAAACTGCATTCTATTAGCAGGCTTAAGTTCTCTCTGGCACTAAAAAAAAAAAAATCACACTCCTGACATGCCAGTTCTTCATGTTAAAAGCCTGGGCTGTTTTATTACCAGAAACAATTCTAAAATGAATCAACAGAACAATTCTGAAGTTACTTGTACCTCTTTACAATGAAAGCAGCTGTTTAAGGAAAATCTTAACTATATGAAGCCTTGTACATTAGTGACAGCTGGACTCTGCTTGTGGGGATGGTGGTGGTGTTCTAAGTCGGTGTACGTCTCTAGTGTCTGTCAAGCATTTTCTACGTTTGTATTCTTGTTTTACAAATAAAGTTTGAACTTGTATAGTGTTATCTAATTCCAAGTCTGTAGTACTTCGTATTTTAGATGTTTTTATGGACGCTACGTCTTAATTTATCACTGTCACAGAATTAGTACCCGAAAGGCATCCTACTTACTGTTACTTCAACTGTTTCCTCTGAGTCTGTACAACACTTGTTTTGAGTCAATATGAAATCCAGTCATGGATTAGTAGTTTTCCCGCACTTAAGTCTTCAAGTAACAGTATAAATAGGTCACAGTGACCTAATGATTAAGCACAGCGCCTTCCATATTTGTTAAATAGCATCTGACTCTTCCTGCATTCTTCACACATCTTGTACCAGAAGAAATTTAGGATTTAAAACTGTGTTAATAGAACTTTCAGATACTTCTGTGGTTTTGTTCATTTCCTTTACCAAATGCACTTCAGCCAGAGTATTTAACTTTTCTCACTCTTCTAGAGTTATATATATATGACTCTTACTGTTGTAACAGTGTAATTTCAAAAGTTTATTTAAAAAATATTGATTACAAGTACTCCACCACTATATTACAAAGTTTCTGGGCTTTCCTACCAGGAAATAGTTCTTTCCAGCAGTCCCAATCTAGCAGAATTGAAAAGGCAGCCTTCTGTAAATCAGCAGCACAAAATCACAGCTTTTTAAAACACATACAATCTAGGTACTTCCAAAAAAATATTACATTATTCACTGCTAGGGCTTGCACTGCAGTAACAGAGGAATACCTAGTGTTTTCTTCTGCCTGTCTGCAATTTTCTTAAACAGGTGACTGCACTACCCCTTTACACCTAGGAGGTGCACCTTCAAAGCACTGCCCCTGAGGAGGACTGGATCAAGGCAGTGAGCGCAAGTCAACTGTAACAGAAATTTAAATAAGGAACTGACAACCACTGCTTCATACCAAAGGTGAGATCAGGAAGTGACTTGTACAGAGCCAGCAGTAGTGAGTATAAAAACCACCCTTATTTTACAGAGGTACAGAAGCCAGATTGCTCCAGGAAGTTCAAGTCACTTCTTTCTTGTACCAAATACAATTTATCTTCTTCTTTAAGAAGGACCAGCTCCAAGTCCATCTCCAAGTCTGCATATTTTTTCTTTTTTTATAGACGCACCAACAGTCAAGAGATTTAAGTATATCATTGCATAGAGATAATGTCCACGAAAACTATATGCAAAAAGGAACAGGTTATAAATCCTGAAGTTTTCACAAAGACCCTGCAGAACAAAAAAGAAAGAAAAAAAAAGTCACATTAATGCAATCTCCCAGAAGTCAAGCCTTTGTAGAGGTGTCCAATAGGATTTGCTGATACCTAATGGAACCCACCCTCTTCATTAGTTTCCCCTACCTTGGGGGTCACTTCTGTAGAGTGAAGAATCAAAAACATAGGTGCCCCCTCCCCCCATCTCCGATGGCAGTATAGTTTTTCTTAGGAAACCAGATAAAGGGCAAGATTTAAAAGTTACACAACAGACATTCCTCACCTGACTAGTTCAGCTGACGTATAAGCTGGTTGATTGCTTCACCTCTGCAGCCAGGCTTACCCATTTCCTTCAGGAAACCCACTTTGTTACGTGAAGCATGGCGAGCTACTGACAGATGGAACGGCCATAGAAAGTTTGTGACTTGTTTGAAATACTTCCCAGCTGAGTAGATTTCATGAATAAGGTCTTCCAGGCAAATAATACCATAGTTCCCTGCAGAGAATTTTTTTTTAAAAAAAAAAACCAAAAACAAAACAAAAAGCACGCCCCGTACAACATATACACAAGATGCCCAACAGTATTATCTTTCCTCATGCTACTCCAGAAAAGCCAGTTCTCCATCTGCAAGTCTTGCAAGGTTTTTCTCCCTCCCCTCCCTCTGAGGTCAGATTGCAAACTCTCCACATCGGCCTCTTTCCTTGATTCACTTAATTTTCTCATCCTCTTCCTCACCTAAATGCTCCTCTATCAGCATATTGTCTGTCAGAGGCATTCTCTTTTTCTTTATCTTGGCTTGACCCCGTTTCAGGATGAGCTCTCGTACAGATTTCAGGTTAGGGTGTCTGCAAAAACAAAAATCAGATTCTGTAGCAGAGAGACATGATACAGCCGAAAGTCTCATCCTACTCCTTTGTATAGAGGTGAGAAAGTAACCAAGTTATTTTTAGAACAATGAAAAAAGGGACAATAACAAGTTTTAGATAGAAGTTGACAAAGTTTTGACCATTACTGGAAAAGCCAGCTACGGATCTGTGATACCAGAGGGAGAATCAAAAAGCTACAATATTTACATACAAACTGCTATCAAGTCACGGGGCTGGTACTTACCCCCACGCCACATAAGGTTCCACAATCCGCAGCATCTTCAGCGATAAAGGAGTCAGTTTAACAAATGTTCCAGTGAAATTTTTTCTCAGCCGCAGCAACTCGATCACTCTTCTTACCCTCCTACTCACTCCCTTAATACTGAGTCAGAAAAACATTTAGTTTAGTATTAGTAACCACGTTTCTCTAATACAGCAACAAAAGGTCTCAGATTACCTACAAGGAGACATGTCTGGGTTGATCACCCTTCCTTTGCTTAGAAATTATGTGACAGCTACAGGTAGTAACAATAATAAAGGTAAGGAGTAACAAAACTTTCTTACTCTACAATCCGCACAACAAAGGCTAGTTTGTGCTCCTGAGGTACAGGCGTCTGTCCAGGTCTCTGCTCCATGCGCCTCAGCCGGATGTCATCTCGGTGTTTGCGCCATGAATCTCGAACAAAAGCCTCAAGGCGTTTAAACTGGATTTGTTTCCCCTTCTGGTGCTAAAGACAAAAGGATAAGAAATGATCACCCTTCCCAAGAGTCTCAGAGGTTTGCATCTCCAAGGCCAAATGAAATTCAGAACTTGATGAACTATGCCCTTTCAGTTTTGGAGGCAGTAAGAAGAAAAATAAATTTGATAATCTAAGCCCAGGGGAGACAGAACTGAGGACAACATATGAATTTACAAGCACCTAGCTATAATTTATGAACAGTGAACTAAGAATTTTTCCTCAGAAAAAAAAATAAATTAGGACAAACAAAGTGAGACCCAGGATACTTCTATGCATAGAAGAAATCAAATAGAAGCATTTGCAGCTACAGACAGACAGATCTTCACAACTACATACACAGCTCAGCCAATCACTGGGAAGGCCAGAAACAACATATGTATCTGGGTAAAACAGATGCTATAGCAATACCCTAGTGTGACTCAAAATTACCATTCAACAGATAATAACTGGTTTTAAAGTCCTTTTCTACAAAGGCACACATACAAAAAAAAAATCCAAGCATTCAAATAACTATTAAGTATTACTAATTTAAACACAAAACATCTAGCTCACTTAAAAAGTCTTTTCAGAATCATGGGAAAATTTAAAGCTTTTTTAAATTAAAAAGATGTTTAAATGCCTATCCTTAGCTCAGGAACACGTACATCCACCATAGCTCTTTCTCATATGAATGGGAGCTGAATGTGCATGGCAGCTACCCAGTAATATTTCGGATACACTACTGACTAAATTATTAGGCCATTTTAAAGTTGAAATATTTAATGTTATGTGTCTTCTGTCCCATTTCACCTTGTAAATCACCCATAAAATTGGTTTGAATTTTCAAAGCAGGTAGACCCGATCAAAATCTCATCACTAGGGTCATTTTTCTAATGAGAATCTTAAAAGGTGGCAATTTAACATTATTGCTTATACTTCCCCTTCCACCTCATAAATACAGCAAGCCATTCATATAGTTAAAAACATAAACACAGTACCTAACCAAAACGGCAGGAGTTTTGCACATAATTCCACCAACTCCACAAAACCAGATTCACTGGGAAAGCTTTAAGCCACTTCCAAGACACGCACCTGCTACGTTAGCTGAGATACAGCAGAACGGGTCTCAAATTCTGAAATAGGAAGGTTTGCTGTGCTCTGCCAGTCTGGAAACCACACACCGAGCACAGAGAGCAACATGTGCCACCTAACACACAGAAAAAGGCTTCACAATGACCTGCCTATGCTCTAACAGATTTATCTACCTAGTTAACTCTAAACGCACCTTCAGAAAGGCACACTGTCTCCATGAAGTTTTACAATGCAAAGGTGAACTGCTTTCAGACAGCGTAATCCTACGGTAGCACAACCGACTCGGCAGCATTACGTTTTACCACATTTGGCCATGCACACACGCACCCTGGTAACCACTAATCTAAGAGGAACAACTCTTCAATAAATTTGTGTTTCGGTATAACACGCCAGAAAGTTCTGTCCTCTTTACAGGGCTCGGAGACACGCGGGGAAGACGCTCAACAACCGAAGAGATGAACTCAAGTTCCCCTCAGAGATAACCCAGAGGATCGTCACGGTGTCAATACCGAGTCTCAGCAACGAGCTGGCTCCCTCCTTTGCCCCCCCCGCAGGGCTCCGGCATCCCCCTCGCGGAGGAAGCTGACCACTCAGATCATTCGTACGGCTGCACGGAGCTACGATTCCCTCCTCCGAAACACAAGCACGGACAGCCGCAACAGCACTGCAGATCCACCCCAGGCTTAGCCCCCTTGCAGCCAGGCTCTCCCAGCCGGCCGGACAACGCCGACTCCGCTGCCCCGGGGATCCCCCCGCGGCCGGCCCCTACCTTCCGCTTGTTGAGGAGCGCCTGCTTGGCCTGGGTGGCCTTGATGGCCTGGTAGGCCTTCCTCTTCTTCAGCAAGTTCTCCGGCACCAGCGGGATCCGCCGCCTCGGCCTGCGGGACGGGAGAAGCCGGTCACATCCAGCAGCACCGCACCCCGACCCCCCCCCGGGACACGCCACCCCCAGCCCCGCGACCGCGCAGTCCCCGCGGATGGCGGCGGATACCCGACCCGCCGCTCCCCCTCACTCACTCCTCTTCCGCCATTTCGCCGGCAGCCGAGGGTGGGGGAATGCCGCGCATGCGCGGGGCGGTGTCATGGCCGCCCAGCCCAGGGCCGGGCTGCCCGCAGCCCCTCCTCGTCTCTTACCCGACGGGACCCGCTCCGCTCGGCTGCAGGACCCGCGGAGAACGGGGGTCCCTGGGGCACCCCCGGGATTTCCCGGAGGGACTCCTCGCCTCAGTCGGATCGCTGCGGGAGCAGACAAGGACCATCTAAAGGAGTGAAGGTATTCTTTACATTTTTCTGGGCTTCTCTGCTGGAATCTGGGACCGGCCGTTAGGGGGTTCTCGTAAGCGGCAGGAGACCGTCCTACGCGGAGCACCGTATACCAGGTTACTAGTGCCTGAGGGTATACATCTGGTATCATTCGGTATTGGTACAGAGCTCGTATACCTTGTGTAAGTTTTTGTACTTCTGGTTTTGTGCACGCTCGCTGTGAGTGCTGCGCTCTGGTATTTGGTACGGGCACGGGGTGAGCTACGTACTTCTGCCATAACACCCTCTGTGGCGGTATTGATTTATTGGTATTGAACTTGGATATATTTGTAAGGAATTGTCTACTGAAAATTGATTTGGATTTGACGCTCGTGTATGAATAAGCTGAGTTAACTCTGGTGTGACTGGTGAGCGACTGGGACGCGCACAGCTGCAAAGTGAGTGTGGGAAACCCGGAGAACTGTGTATTTCACCGTGGAAATGAATGTGAACCACTTTTTCCTCATAAATTGCTTTATCTGTGATCAAAACCTATGGGTAGTATTTGGATGGGATATTCAGCGTGAGAATTGTGGAACGTAGTCAGGGTGGCAAAATAAAGACAGGTTGAAAGTATTAAAGTAATCTGTGGGAAAATAAACGACATACAGAATCAGTAAAAGTAGGGGGGGGGGGACAACAAAGTGGTGGAATTCTAAAGAAAAGCCCCCTAGGATGTATCCTAGCACACTGGAGAGATATAGGGGGACCACCAGGTGGGCATGTGATCAAGACGACATTAATTAAATACTGTAATCAGTGGTGGCCTTTATACAAGCTGGAGGAGGATGAAAAATGGCCCTTTAATGGATCTTTGAATTATAATACTATATTGCAGTTAAGGTTATTTTTGCAGAGAGAAGAAAAATGGGATGAGGTTATATATGCCAATATGTTCTTTACCTTACGAAACCACCTGGACTGGCAGAGAGATTATGGGATCAATGTACCACCACAAGACCTCCTGGTTTTATCCTTAGAAAAAGAACATAGAGGTGAAAGAAAGAGGAGAAAATGAAGAGATGCTGCTTAGCGTGTAGCATTGGACAAAGGTGTTTGAAGCTGACAAACCCTAGGAAGAAAGTAGAGGAGTTAGAAGAGCAGCCCGAGGACCTGGGATTACCCCCTCCATTACAAAATCTGCCTCCCTTACCCCCATCCAAAACAGACAGTTACAGTGAGGAGGAAGGAGCAACAAGCGATTTTACTCCAATTACAGCACAAACCCGGAGTAAAACCCAGAGGGCTGTGTTACTCCTAGCCCCATTGAGAGAAGTAATGGGGGCAGGAGGTCCGGCTAGGCTAAAAGTTCCTTTTTCCACCGCTGATCTGGATGCCTGGAAAGAGGTAGCTAAGGGGTATCGAGATGACCCCATTAAAGTGGCAAAGCAATTTGAATTAATAGTAAAAAATCAGGATTCCGATTGGTTAGATGTAGATTTAATTTTAGGAGAAATGACAGAAACAAAACCAATTGGTATTAAAAACCGCTCAAACCCATGTACAGGCCCAGATCACTGGAGGAACTTTACAGGGGAACGTAGATGACCACGTCCCCCTGACTGACCCACACTGGGAACCCAATGATGCATGAGATTACAGAATGCTAAAACGATATCAAGATTGGATTAAATTGGGATTAGAGAATGCGATTCCAAATGCTGTAAACTGGTCTGCATTATATGCTGTCAAACAGGGGCCAAAAGAAACCTCTACTGAATTTCTAGATCAAATAAGAAATGGCATGAGAAAATACACTACCCTAGATCCTTCTTCAGACGTGGGACAGCAACAGCTTGTCTCTCTGCTTCTGGGACAGTCATCTGCAGATACAAGGAAGAAGTTACAGAAATTAAAAGAGCCAGATATAAGCGACTTAGAGAAGTTGCTTGAAGAAGCGTGGAGAGTTTTTAGAAATCGAGAGGATACAGATAAACAAAAATTAACAAAAGTAATGGCGACAGTGACGGTGGCAGCTTTGGAACAGAAAGGAATGGTAAATGGAGGAGGATTTAGAGGATGTGGGAGAGGAAGGCCCTTTGGGAATAGAAGAGGGATAGAATGGGTATTGGGAAGAAATCAGTGTGCGTATTGTTAGAGGGACATTGGAAAAATGAATGCCCGAAATGTAAGGGAGTACAATAGGCTGTGATAGCGGAAGCGGAGGCCGACTGATGGGGACCTGGGGCATCTACCTTAGCGGATCCACTGGTTAAAATTAAGCTAGGGAAATCAAGGAAAAGTAGAATTTTTGGTGGCTACGGGAGCCTCTTTCTCTGTTTTAAATCAAGAATTGATACCTGTAAGGACTCTGTAAATGTAAAAGGAGCTACTGGCCAACAGGAAAAAGTGTTCTTTTTAAAACCCCTCAAATTCAAGTGAGGGAAGCAAATTGGGTTACATTGATTTTTGTATTTGCCAAATTCTCCCCAACCACTATTGGGTCAGGACTTATTAGAACAATTAGGAGCGGTGATAACTTTAAACATGGGACTATAGAACTAAAAATAAAGGAAAATCAATGAATTGAGATTTTAAGTTTAGCCCTAATGTACCCTGGGAAGTCTGCCGCAACAACCCCCGAAACTGAAAAAATTATTAATTGGGTGTATCCAGGAGTATGGGTCGCAGGGACTCCCGAGAGGGTGAAAAATGCCATTCCTATGGTCATAGAGCTCAAGGAAGGAACCAGTCCGGTATGACCAAAGCAATACCCTTTGAAACTAGAAGGCCAAAAAGGGATAGAAAGCCCAATTAGTAATTTTTTACAGCATGGACTGTTAGTGGAATGTGAATCAGAATATAACACCCACATATTACTGGTAAAGAAACCAGATGGAACTTATTGGGTAGTACAGGATTTAAGAGGAGTGAATAAAATCATTAAAGATTTACACCCTGTGGTAGCCAACCCTTATACTTTACTCACTAAATTACGAAGTAATCAGGTATGGTTTACAGTATTAGACTTAAAAGATGCATTCTTCTGTTTGCCTTTGGCCAAAGAAAGTCAAAATTTGTTTGCATTTGAATGGGAAAGTCCTACTACTGGTAGGAAAACCCAACTTACCTGGACAGTGTTACCCCAAGGTTTTAAGAACAGTCCAACAATTTTTGGAAACCAATTAGCACGGGAACTTGAAACATGGGGCCCTCCCTCCAGAGATGGAACCCTTTTGCAATGTGTGGATGATTTACTAATAGCAACTGAAATGAAACCTGATTGTATACAATGGACTGTAAGTTTGTTGAATTTGGGGGGATTAAATGGATATCAAGTTTCTCAACAGAAGGCTCAGATGGTGCAGCAGCAGGTAACCTACCTCGGGTACGAGCTATCTGGAGGACAACAAGAATTAGGAACAGACCAAAAAGAAGCCATCTGCAGAACTCCTCTCCCTCAGATGATAAAAGAACTCAGGACATTCCTGGGAATGACAGGTTGGTGCTGATTATGGATTTATAATTATGGAGTAATGGTAAAGCCTTTATATGAACTTTTAAAAAACAATCCTACTCAATTGACTTGGCCCAAAGAGGCTCAAAATGCATTCAGAACATTTAAAAAGGAACTAATGAAAGCCCCAGCTTTGGGCCTACCTGATGTTACTAAACCATTCTGGCTGTTTTCTCATGAGAAGCAAGGCATAGCTCTAGGAGTCTTAGCCCAACAGCTAGGACCTTACAAAAGAGCTGTGGCCTATTTTTCTAAACAGCTTGATGAACTAACTAAAGGATGGCCAGCATACTTATGAGCCATGGCAGCTGTAGTGCTAAACATTCAAGAGGCTCAGAAATTTACTTTGGGCCAAAAGATCACAGTACTGGTCTCACATACAGTATCAGTAGTACTGGAACAGAAGGGAAAACATTGGCTTTCCCTGTCCTCATTTTTACAATACCAGCCATTCTGGTTGAACTGGATGATGTTAATATTGAAGTGACTAATGTTATGAACCCAGCTTCTTTCCTCAGTGGGGTGACATCTGAACCATTGGCACATGATTGCTTAGAAACCATAGAAACTGTGTACTCTAGCAGACTAGATTTGAAAGAAGAACCCCTGGAGGATGCACAGGACTCCTGGTTCATGGATTGTTCACGGTAACAAAGCTGGAAGCAGCTTTGTCTGACAAGGTATCCAAAAGGCCAGGTACGCGGTGACAACAGCAAGTAAGGTAATTGAGTCCCAATCGTTACCTGCTGGAATGTCAGCTCAAAAGGCTGAGATTATTGCCCTGATTAGGGCCCTGGAATTGGCAAAAGGAAAGAAGATAAATATATGGACAGATTCCAAATATGCCTTTGGAATTGTCCACGCTCATGGAGCAATTTGGAAAGAACAAGGACTGCTAACTGCACAAGGAAAACAGATCAAACATGCTGAAGAAATACTTCAGCTACTAAAGGCAATTCAATTGCCAACCAAAGTTGCCATTATGCACTGTCGAGGACACCTGAAAGGTAACACTGACCAGGAAAAAGGTAATAGATTGGCTGATTATGAGGCTAAACAGGCAGCAGAAAGAACACAAAAGATCTTAATGTTAATTCCGGATAAGAGATGTAAGAATTGGGATGAACAGGAAAATATTGGATATTCTAGAACCGATAAAGATCTAATAAAAGAAATAGGAGGACAGATTCCCTCCAAAGGATGGGCCCACCTGAGTGAAGGCAGAATTATAGTTCCTGCTAAACAGGTAAGGGGAATTGTCAAGGAGGAGCACAGTAGGACACATTGG